CAGTCAACAAAAAAAATAAAACCATTTTATAACGACATTTGTAGGTTACATTACGTGTAGAATTCAATTCTTTTCCGTCGAAACCCGATTGTAGTCAACCTGACATTCAYTCTGTCTTGTTTCTAATAGCACATTGTACCGTCGCTAAAAACTTTTCAATATATTTAAGAAAAATTTTGGCTGCTTTTTAGATTAATTATTTGTAAAAACTATCAGATATCTTAAGAAATGCTATAGAACAAAAGCTATAAAACATTATCTTTCAAGTTTTAAAGCGTATACTAACAAATGGAAAGTGTTAAGTCCAATAATATCTAGCATATATCAATTATTTTACAACAACTGCAGTCAAAGAAAACAAAAAACAATCATTTTTTTACAACTTGTTTTGGTTACTTTTCGTGTAGCATTCAATTATATTTTAACAAAATTCGATTGTAGTAAACCAAATATCTTTTCTGTATAGTTTCTAAAAGCACATTTTAACCTTCGCTAAAAAATTTTTAATAGATTAAAAAAAATATTCGCTACTTTTGTGGATTAAAGCGTAGTCAAAAATTGAAAACAATCTAAAAAAGTGCTATTTAACAGACGCTATGAAACGTTTTCTCTTCAGCTTTAAAGCGTATACTTACAAATAAAAAGTGTTATGTCCGAAAGATTTATGCAAACACCATTTATATTTGGACTACTGCAGTCAAGAAAAAAAAAAATTTATTTTATTAAGACATTTTTTGTTACTTTACGTTTAGAATTCAATTTTCTTTCGTCGAAACTCGATTATTGTAAACCTGACATCCATTCTTTCTTGTTTCTAATAGCACATTGTACTTTCGTTAAAAACTTTTCAATATATTTAGGAAAAATTTTCGGTGCTTTCTAGAATAACTATTTGTAAAAACTATATGATATCTAAAGAAATGCTATAGAACAAAAGCTATAAAACATTTTCTTTCAACTTTTTAAGCGCTTACTAACAAATGAAAATGTTAAATCTAATAAAATCTAGCATATATCATTTATTTTACAACAACTGCAGTCCAAAAAAGAGAAAAAATCATTATATTTCAACTTTTTTTTGTTACTTTACGTGAAGAATTCAATTCTTTGTCAAAAGAACTCGATTGTAGTAAACCTGACGTCTATTCCGTTTATTTGCAAGCAGTTCATTTTTACCGTTGCTAAAAATGTATTATTATATTTATAATATAAAAAAATACCTTTTGTATCTCTAGACAGTTTGCGTGCAATAAATGGGCCGGGAGGAAAAAGATGTAAAGTCTCCTTGATGACTCGTTCTAAATATTACATTTTCTTAGTATCTTCCATTGTAATAGGAATATCTTTTGTACCGCTTGAACCGTRYTTATTGTACAACTCTTCGTGAACTTGGTTATGCAATCGAAAAAGCAGAATATATGAACCAAGTTTTATATGAAAATATAGTTGATTTTTAAAGATAATGATAAATAAGGCACTGCTTAAGTGCTATCTGTGCGTACTTGAATGTCCGGAAACGTGGTAAGCATTAAAAATAAAAATGTAAGCGTATTAGCTGAAGTATCGCTTCCCTAAAAAATAATACAAATTATTTTCTATCTTTAATCAATAAAAAGAAATTTCATCATATCTGAAA